TAGGTTCTATTTGGGTTTGATTTTGCGTATTTGTATGTTTGTTTTGATTTTTGTTTAGATCTTGATTTTTGTGTTCTGATTGAAACCCTAGGTTTCGGATCTGGGTTTCCCTGATTTGATTTCGATTATCTGGGTTTGAAAGTTTCGATCTTTGTGTATTCGCGACGTTTTCTTCGATTTGAATTTTCACGTCAGTTCTTACGTCACCTGCCCTTGAGTTTTTTTATTTTAAAAAAATATTTTTTATTTTATTTATTTAATGACAGAATATTTCTTTTAAAAAAGAAAAAAAATGGAACTTATTTATTTATATGGTAAATTACTGTAATAAAACATGCTCTCTGGAACAAAATTGAGGAACTCATACTATATACATGGAAACCCACCTGGCTTAATATTGGTATGTTCATAGGAATTGAGGTTTAAGGTTATCTATATTGCATTTTAGCTTTGGCAATATGTATAAAATGTGCATTCTTCTCTTTGTTTCTTGTAGAAAGTCAATTGTTGTGTGGTATTGAAATTATGTGATGAAGGTTAAATCAATATACACTTGCATGGGACTTAGTGGAGTGCATAGAGCTAGGCTCTTCAACTTGTTTTTGGGGGCGGAGGCTGAGGTATTGGTACGAAGAGTGACATATTACTGGGTGTTATTACGTTTTACTTTAACATGCAATCCATATTCTAAAATTGAGTCATTGTTTTGGGAGACTGTTTTGAATTTTGAAGTTATAGGATGGAGTTAGGGGAGTAATTGAACTATTCGATGTTAGAATGGGCAAGGAAGTTTGAGATACTAGGCAAGTGCTTGTGATTTATCAGGGAATTTTTTTATCCATGGAAGTTTTTGGGTGTTGACAAGGGGTTATGGAGTTGGTGTTGTACAATTACTTTATACATATCTTCTAATGTACGGCGAGGCTGTGAACATTAGATGTTTACATAAGAAGTATTATGTTTTGTTTATGGTAATTACATGTTCTGTTTGGTGCATGGTGCCTCATTTTGGCTAGCTGGCTTTCTGACCTGATGTTGTATGGGTTAAACAAGTTCATTGGATGGATTGTAGATCTAGTATTTTTTTTTTTCTTTTGGTGTTCCATCCGATTCACCCTTTGGGCTAATCCGGATTCAGGGATCAGTTTTGGGTGGTTAGGTTCCAGTCCCCTCTCGATTGTTGTTGCGGGGGATCGAACACGGGTCCTCCCTACCAAGTGTAGTCCCAATCACCACTACACCAACAACCAATTGGTAGGTCTAGTATGTTTATTGCTGCATATAAACTGTACTAAGCTTAAAAGTTAAAATCATTTATGAATCAAGCATGTTTGTTTCTTTTCTCATGTGGTGCAAGCCCTTTTTTTGCAATTTTTTTGTGCTTGGAGTTACTGAATGCTTTCAAATTGGGAATTTTCTGCATTGCTTTATATGCCCCTAGTGCATGCTGTGTAATGCAGGCTTAAAAATATATACTCACCGTGTTAGTCCACTGTTTCCTATTTTTGAAGATTTAGCCTTCTTCTTAGCTTCATGTGTTGTTATCTGACATTTCTCTTTCTTGCAGCTGAACATGGCCCACAAGCGACCATTTGATGATGAAGTGGTTGATGAGGGTTCCTCCAAACATCAGAGACAGGATGGACCTAGTGACGAGATAAGCTTATGCAATGGTAGTTTCTTCAAACATCAGAGACAGGATGGACCTAGTCATGATACAAGCTTATGCAGTGGTAGTTTCTCCATAGACGGTGCCTGTGGGAAATGTTATGTTGTAGGTAGGTGAATGTTTTGGCCTGTTTTTAACTACATGGTGTTATGGAATCTGTATTTAGGTGTTATTATTAGTCTTATTTGGTGAGTGACTTTTATTCTTTTTTATTGTATGTATTTTTTGAAATATCTTATGCACAATGACAGTCAGTAATTGTGGAAATGTGTACCAGAATCTTATACTAAAGCGAATCATGTAACTCTGCTTCATATTACTTTTGGATGCCAAAATAAAGCTGTTACCTTTACAAAAGTACTAATGGTTGATAATGTTGTATTCCAATATATCACTTTTCAAAATATTTGGTCGGGCTCAGATGGTAGAATAAATGACCTGAATTTTGTTTACCAGTGTTATTCAAATTCAAACTCATGCTGTATTATTATCTATGTGGGGGCTTGAAAACTTGGGGTAATGTGACGATGAATTTGGTGTTGATGGTGTACTATGTTTGTTAACAGTTAGGACTTAGGAGAGCTCATTTTAACTATTTAAGACAGTGCTATTCTGTTTGGCTTATTTTTCTGATTGCATGATTTTAAGACTTTTTGAGTCGTTTTAACATGTATGACCAATCATTTCATTGCCCTTCCACTTTGAAAATGTCAGTATGTGGGTATTTTTTTTTTCTATGCTTATGTATGATATTCTACAGGTGATTCCAGCATTGAGAATGATCAATTGGATCTGCGTCAAGAGCATGAAAATGGCAGTTGCCCTGTACCCAGGGAGATGTTGGAGGATGTTGAAAGTGATGTCCCCAGGTCTGCTTCTTTATCACACTGGGCTACCAGTAGCACTAGTGATGATGATGATGAAGAACTGCCAGAAGAACCTGTCCAGTTGCCTTTATATCCTGAATATTTTAGTTTCGACAATCATGTGAGACCAATAAATCCAGAAGATGTATATTATTGTCTGTTAGATTATCCTCCACGGAAGCGAGTTCCTGTTGGGCCTGATCATCAAGCAGATATTCCTAGTTTGGAAATCCAGATAAGAAAGAGTACTTCTGATGATTTAGGAAAAATTGAACCTTCACCTTCTGACATACACACTGTTGAGGTTGTGGAGGGTGGGCTTGATGGTATATGTATCATGCCAATTCCAAATATCAACCCTCTGCCTTGTTATGGTGAGAAAGTTGGAAATGGTAGGACCGAGTGTACATGCCCAGATCAGGGATCTGTGAGATGTGTCCGGCAGCATATTGCAGAAGCTCGAGATGAATTGAGGAGAACCCTTGGTCAGGATATTTTCTTGGAGTTGGGTTTCTATGACATGGGGGAAGTTGTGGCAGAAAAATGGAGCTTGGATGAAGAGCGGGTATTCCACGAGGTTGTATATTCCAATCCTGCATCATTGGGTAAAAATTTTTGGAATGTTCTTTCAGCTGTATTTCCTTCTCGAACCAAGATGGAAATTGTGAGCTACTACTTCAATGTTTTCATGCTTAGAAAGCGAGCAGAGCAAAACAGATGTGATCCATTCAACGTAGATAGTGATAATGATGAATGGCATGGAAGTGATGATGATGGGGGTGATGAAGGTGGAGTGTCAGAAGAAGATGAAGACTCTGGTATTGAGTCCCCTGTTCGTCATGGTGGCCTTGAGTTTCATCAAAATGGTTTGCATTTGCAAGGGGATGAACATGGACTTGAGGATGATGGGGACCTGTCAGATGAAGCCCGAGAAAGCGATGGCATCAATGGTGATTGTATTGTGAAAAAACCTGACCACGATTCTTCCTTTGAGCATCCTGGCAAGAAGTCTGATGATGATGGAGAAAATGATGTCCAAGATGGATCATGCACATCCTCTGATTCGGGTGCCTCTGTGCAAGGATCCCGGTTGAAGCCTGATGGTTGTCATGAGTGGAATGAATATATCATAGATTCATCCGATGCTAAAGTATGGGATGGGTATAGTATGAGTTGTCCTAAACAAAATGTGGACTTCTTACCTACATGTAGTATGATTGAAGAGGTATTTGGAGATGGTGATTTTGAATCTAAAAGTAAGAGATGGTGAGGTACGAAATCTGCTATCGTAATGGAGGGTTTAAGTCCATCGTTTTTATCCGGGCTTGTTTAGTCAAGATTGGGCACCCAGAGCATGAGACTAGCTTCCTCTGCATGTCTGCTGAAGATAACTATATGTTTAATTTCTTTTTAGAGCATTAGAGGATCCAAATTTCCTGATGTAAATTGCCAATTGATTGGAAAGATGGAAGTCCAGCATAAAGTGTAAAATAGTAACATTATATTTGCGGCGCGCCTACCTAAGCTGTGTGCCACATCTCTGTAGCTCCTCTCTTATTTTACAACTTGTAAAAGCCTTTGGGTTTTACAACTTAATTTTGACCCTTCTTTTCTATGGTGAATGAACTTAAATGTAAGTATTACCCACTACCAGGTATGGGTAATACTACGGTACTACCCAATACCACAATATACTATTTTTTTTTCCCCTTTTTTTCTCCCTTTCCTCTTCATCTTCTTCCTCCCTTACACCCTTTCCCCACCTCCATGGATAGCTCCCATTGCTGGCCAAACCTCTGCCCACCACACCTTCACCTCCAAGCTCCAACAGCAAGAAACCCACCCCACTAGCTACTACCTTGGTCGAAAATCCAAAAACACGCAACTATCTCCGTTACAAATCACCGGAAACCACCCAAAAAAACATAACTCAAATACGAGAAACACAAACTTATGGCTCTAGCCATTAAAATCGGTGAGTTCTATGCTGGAAATCGTTGAGTTCAGTCGAAATTGACCACGGTACTTGTTTGTCGGTGCTCAGTTGTTATTAGTTTTTATACTGTTATTATTGGTTTGTCTTTGTCTAATGTTATTCTTGGTTTGTATATTGTTATTCTTAATTTGTATACGGTTATTAAGAGGAGAGACACTATATTTTTACAACATGGGTAAATAATACGAGAAATTACATTTTTGGTCTATCACTACTCCCAATTGTACGGAGTAGTATGAAAATTTAACAGGTACTTGACTTCATGTCCGTTTAAGCACAATACTAGATACACACATAATTTTTCATAATCTGGTGTAGTGACCAATACATGAAAAGTCTAGCGACACCAGCCACAAGATGATAATAAAATGAACTAATGTGGCTTATTAGAAACCTCGAGAAATCTACCAGGTCTCTGATGTCCATTTAAGCACAATACGTCAATACTAGATTACTAGATACACTCGAGGAGCTGAAACTTATTACATTTCTTGAAACAGCTTGTAAGATATGATGTTAAAGTTCGTCTTGAATGATACTAGTGCTTAATTTTGAGAACATCAAGCACCCTTATGTCCTGAGGAAAGGTCTCAAGGAACAGTTCTTTGTAAATTTTCATGCTCGTCTTCTTATACAGTTCTGGTTGATTAGTGCTAATCAATTGAACCACTTATCATCTTTCAGGATATGCAGGCTCTCCGGCACATTTTTGTCTGGCAGAAGCATTGTAATAGAGGATCTATCAGAATGAGGACGAACACCATAAACTTTATCAGGCCGCGAACAAGGTGGATAGTATCCAAATCTTGTCTCTATGAGTCCACGTTCACCATGTTCTTTAAAAAAGCTGTCCTCTCTTAATTCCAGAGATCGCGCCATGGCTTTAAGGATGACTTCTAACATCATTCTCAAATTTAGGGAAAATTCTTGTAAAATTTCACTGAGTCCTCAATAATTTATCACAGATAACACTATATGTTAGTACTCATTATATATATGTATATATATATGAAGTTCTCACTGGTCAAACATAGTAATGAATAATGATGTATGTCTTGTGAGTTGTGACAATGTCAAACATTTAATCTTTGTTCTTAATCTTGAAAAAAGAAAATTGCAAAAATTAGGAAAATTAGTTTTCATTATTTAAAAAAATTAGATCAATAATAATGGCGCGAAGATTAAATAGCCTAATCGATTGGCTGATGTACCTGAATCTAGACGGCTTCTGAGGCCAAAATTTGAGGTTTCGTTGATCCTCGGGATAAACTGTAAGAAAGAGTCTATCATTCCGGTTGATAGGCTTATCTCCAGCAAGCACAATAGCCGGGTTTCCATATCCGTTAAAAATATCTTCTTCCATTGCCGATTTTAGTTTTTCCTCTAAAGGAAGTGCAAAAAACTGCCTAGTAACATCAAGCAATTCGTCCAGAAATAAACTTGTCATACCATGGTTTATAACCTGATCATTAACAACAACAAAAGCCACCAACAAATGTAACGTTACATTAACATTTAACTTTGTTTGATAGAGAATATACGTGACAACACGGGATTGAATCAAACTACCTGAAAACAACCCCAATTTTCGAGAGCAGAATGAAGCTTGGAAAGTTCATGTTGATGAGCAGATGAAGAACCAGAGGAAATGAGATTGAAATCGATCAACAAAGTTTCTTCCCATAAATTGGCAGAGGCATCAATGGCTGGAGATATTACATCATTTTTAATCATGTATTTTTGTGGGACTTCCTCCCCTTTCTTTGCTATTTCCTGCTCTAACCTTGATATTACATCTTTTTTTTCTTGATTCATCCATTACACCTTCAACTAATTTCACTCTAACTAAATGTTTTAGTTATCAGCATACGTCCAATATTGATAATATAATTATTTTCCCAACCAAGGGGTATAATACAATTGTTATTCCTATTGATTACATATTTACATCACTTCTACATGTAAGGACGCATCTATATCATTAACGCAGCAACCAACAATATTTGTTTAAACATATTGATAGAGAAAATATTAGGAATATTCTCCACGCCTTTGAATATTGTGATAATTTATTAGCATGTTGAGAACTTGAGATGGATATTAATTGTTTGAGATATAATCACTTTGCATTTGCGCAGTCTTTAATGTGCGTCTTTGACCATAATCTGTAGCTATGTATAAGTGAAAATTATAAAAAGTTAATATCTGAAAAATATAAACTAAGACAAATCTAATAAGATCCCCATGGCAATCAATTTATTTTGTATAAATTATTGAAGAATAGACCTTCCAAGTATCACCACATGGAAGTATCAGTGGCGGAGTCGGGAATTTTAAACCGGGGGGACAAATGAACATCATTGCTTAGTTTGACAAAAAAAAATATAGAGCAAAATATACTTAAAATAGCTACTGTATTGTTTTACAACTCAAAAATATAAAATATAGAGTATGGGTCATTTTCATGTCGGGTCATTCCCGAATTCAAGTCGGGTTATATTTTAGTCAATAATTTGCAGGTTACAATCAGGTCGGGTCATTTCCAAATGAGGTCATATTCGGGTTCAACTAATTATAAATAGATAATTATCATTTTTATCAAGCTAATTATTTCCTTTGACTATGATATATATGGAAATATACTAGGGAACTATAGCCTATAATTTAAAAAGATAATTATGTCCTTTGACCATACAACAAATACATACTATATTTAACTCTTAAATTTGAGGATGATGCTCCTTTCCTTTGTTGGCCTGGTTCGACTAGATCTCCCAAGACAAAATGCTTTGATCAACAATTATAAGTAAGGTGGTCTAAATTGCATTTAGGGTGATTTAAAATCAGGTCAGGAACAATTTGGGTTGAATTTAGGTCGGATCAATAACAAGTCGTGTTAATTTCGAGTCGGGTTAGTAACAGATCGAGTTGAATTTTTGGGTCGGGTAAATAATGGGTCTGGTAAAATTCGGGTCGGGTCAATAACAAGTCGAGTTGAATTTGGGTCATGTCAATAACAGGTCAGGTTAGGAATGGGTCGGGCCGATTTCAGGTCAAGTTAGTAACAAGACGGGTTATATTTGAGTTTTGAAGAGTTAAAACGGGTTTGGGTCAATTTCAGTTCAAGTCGAGTTTTGTGCAAATTAATTAAATTGGCCGTTGTAAACCGGTAAATCGGTGCAAATTGTAAACCGGTAAATTGCCTGTTTAAAAGAAAATTGGATGGTTCCACACACCCAATTGGACTCCCGTAGGGTATTAAGGACCATGGTAAACATTTTGGCAATTTTTATTTTCGGACAAAAAAAAGTCAAAAAAATTACAAAATTGAAGGCTATTCACACTTTTTGAGAAATTTTGGAGGTTTCGAGGCCCGGTGTTGAAAAGTTTGAGATTTAAGGGAATACATCTCGGGGTTATATAATGACGTTTAGAACCATATATGATCATTATATGTTGTCATAAATGTTCGTGGTAAGCTTGATTTTATGAAATCAGTGCAAGTTATAAACCGGTAAATAGGCCTTTTAAAGGCAAATTGGATGGTTGCACCCACCCAATTGGACTCCCAAAATGTATTAGGGACCATGCTAAACATTTCGACAATTTTTTTTTTCGAACGAAAAAAAGTCAAAAAATTTCAAAATTGAAGACTAATATCCACGTTTTTTAAAAAATTTTGGAGGTTTCGGGGACCAGTGTAGAAAAGTTTTGAAATTCAAGGGGATACATCTAAGGGTCATATAATTCCGTTTGAATCCATTTATGATCATTATATGTTGTCATAAATGTTCGTGGTAGGCTTGATTTAATGAAATCGGTACAAGTTGTAAACCGGTAAATTGGTCATTTAAAGGCAAATTGGATAGTTCAACCCACCCAATTGGACTCTCGAAGGGTATTAGGGACCATGGTAAAAATTTCGCCAATTTTTATTTCCGGGCAAAAAAAAATCAAAAAAAATCCAAAATTGAAGGCTTATAACATATCCATGCTTTTTGAGAAAATTTGAAGGTTTCAGGGCACGATGTCGAAAAGACTTGAGATTTTTAGGAATACATCTCGGGGTCATATAATGACGTTTGGAACCATATATGATCATTATATGTTGTCAAAAATGTTCGTGGTAGGCTTGATTTAATGAAATCGGTGCAAGTTGTAATTCGGTAAATAGGTCGTGTAAAGGCAGTTTGGATGGTTGCACTCACCCAATTGGACTGTCGAAGGTTATTAGGAATTGAAACATGGTAAAAATTTCGGCAATGATTATTTTCGGGCGAAAAAAGTCTAAAAATTCAAAAAATAAAGGCTAATTATCCATGGTATTTGAGAAATTTTGGATGTTTTGGGGCCCGGTATCGAAAAGTCTTGAGATTCTAGGGAATACATCTCATGGTTATATAATGTAGTTTGGAACCATATATGATCATTATTTGTTGTCATAAATGTTCGGGTAGACTTGAGTTAATGAAATCGGCGCAAATTGTAACCCGATAAAGTAGCCGTTTAAAGGCAAATTGGATGGTTCCACCCACCTAATTGGACTCTCGGAGGATATTAGGGACCATGGTAAACATTTCGGCAATTTTATTTCCTGGTGAAAAAAATTCAAAAATTGAAGGCTAAAATCCACGTTTTTTGAGAAATTTTGCAGATTTTCAGCCCCGGTGTCGAAAAGTCTTGAAATTTTTGGATTATATCTCGAGGTCATGTAATGCCGTTTGGAACCATATATGATCATTATATGTTGTCATAAATGTTCGTGTTAGGCTTGAGTTAATGGAATCTGTGCAAGTGGTAAACCGGTAAATTGGTCGTTTAAAGGAAAATAGGATGGTTCCACCCACCCAAACGGACTCCTGGAGGGTATTAGGAATCATGGTAAACATTTCGGCAATTTTTGTTTTCGGGCGAAAAAAAGTAAAAAAAATTCCAAAATTGAAGGCTAATATCCACGCTTTTTAAGAAATTTTGGAGGTTTCGGGACCCGGTGCCGAAAAACCTTTAGATTATAGGGGATACATTTCAGGGTAATATAATGTCGTTTGGAACCATATATGATCATTGTTTGTTGTCATAAATGTTCGTGGTAGGCTTGAGTTAATGAAATCGGTGCAAGTTGTCAACCGGTAAATTGGTCGTTTAAAGGCAAATTGGATGGTTCCACCCAGCCAATTTGACTCCCGGAGGATATTAGTGACCATGGTAAACATTTCGACAATTTTTATTTTCGGATTAAAAAAGACAAAAAATTCCAAAATTGAAGAATAATATTCACGCTTTTTGAGAAAATTTGGAGGTTTCGGGTAGAGCTGTCAATTCGGGTAAACGAGTCAGGTTTGGGTCGGTTAGAGTGGGTCAGGTTAGTTCGGCTCGGGTGAATTCGGATTAATTCCATAACCTATGCAGGTCGGGTTTGGGTTAGGTCATGCTTTAGTCGGGTCACATCGTGTCATACTTCTTATCGGGTTTGGGTCGAATTAATAACAGGTAGGGTTACATTTGGGTCGGGTGAAAAATAGGTCGGGTTTAATTCGAGTTTTCACGGGTTAAAAGGGGTTAGGGTTTATTCTCGGGTTCGAGTAGGGTTGGGTTCAAGTCAATAATTTGCGGGTTATAATCAGGTTGGGTCATTCTCGGGTTTGAGTCGGGTTCAATTCAACTCAATAATTTGCGGGTTACAATCAAGTCGGGTCATTTTCAAGTCGGGTAATTCTCGGGTTTAATTTGGGTTCGGTTCAAGTCAATAATTTGCGGGTTATAATTAGGTTGGGTCATTTTCAAGTCGGTTCATTCCTGGATTCAAGTCGGGTTATGTTCAAGTCAATAATTTGCAGGTTACAATCAGGTCGGGTCATTTCCAAGTGTGGTCATATTCGGGTTCAACTAACTATAAATAGATAATTATCATTTTTATTAAGCTAATTATTTCCTTTGACTATAATATATATGGCAATATACTGGGAACTATAGTCTATAATTTAGGAAGATATTTATCTCCTTTGACCATACAACAAATACATACTATATTTGACTCTTAAATTTGCGGATGATGCTCCTTTCTTTTGCTGGCCTGGACCGACTTGGTCTACCTAGAAAAAATGCTTTAATCAACAATAATAAGGTGGTCTAAATTGCATTTAAGGTGATTTGAAATCGGGTCAGGAACAATTTGGGTTGAATTTAGGTCGGGTTAATAACAAGTCGTGTTGATTTCGAGTCGGGTTAGTAACAGATCGGGTTGAATTTTTGGTCGGGTTGGTAATAGGTGTGGTAAAATTCGGGTCGGGTCAATAACAAGTCTGGTTGAATTTGGATCAGGTTAATAACAAGTCGGGTTGATTTCAGGTTAGGTTTGTAACAGGTTGGGTTAAACCTCGGTTCGGGTTAGGAACAAGTTGGGTTAAATTCAGGTCGGGTTAAATTCGTGTTTTGACGGGTTAAAACAGGTTTGGGTCAATTTCGGTTCAAGACGGGTTCGGTTCAGGTCTATAATTTACGGGTTACATTCGAGTCAGGTCATCTCCAGGTTAGTTCATGTTCGGGTCTCACATACTAGGGTCAACTCGGGTCTAGGGTTTGTTTCAGGTCGGATTTGGGTCATCATTGTTTCGGGTTCAGATGGGTCGGTTAATAATCGGGTTTGAGTCAGTATTTCGAATCGGGTTAACTTTTGATAGCTCTAGCGACACTAGCCATACGGCATTTTTTTTTTTACGATAATAAAATAAACTAATGTGGCTCATTAGAAACCTCGAGAAATCTACCAGGTCTCTGATGTTCATTAAGCACAATACTAAATACACTCGAGGAGTTGAAACTTATTAAATTTATTGAAAAACAGCTCGTAAGATATGATGCTAAAGTTGATGCTAGTGCTTAATTATGAGAGCATCAAGCACCCTTATGTCCTGAGAAAAAGTCTCAAGGAAGAGTTGGTCGTAAATTTTCATGCTCAGCTTCTTATACAATTCTGGTTGATTAACACTAATCAATTCATTAATCGGCCCCACATCATCTTCGGGTTCTGGAGTATAAAATGCAGACACTGAATGCCTCTCTCTTTCCAAATTAGTCATCACCCTGTGTATTACACTCTTGAATACACCATTACTCATAGCCTGCAAGTTCAGTCCCCCCAAAAAAAAAACTCTAGCTAAGATCAACAAAAACATCTGCAATACTAATTTTTGCGGATTGGCTTAGATGTATTAGTGTATAATTGAGTCAGTTACCTCTGCAAGATCACCAAGAACAACTACTAGAGCTCCGGGGATGACTGGAACATAGAACCACTTATCATCTTTCAGGATATGCAGACTCTCCGGCACATTTTTGTCTGGCAAAACCATTGAAACAAAGGATCTGTCTGAGTGTGGACGAACACCATAAACTTTATCAGGCCGCGAACAAGGTGGATAGAATGCAAATCTTGTCTCCAAGAGTCCACGTTCACCATGATCTTTTAAGAAGCAGTCCTCTCTTAATTCCAGAGATCGCGCCATGGCTTTAAGGATGACTTCAAACATCATTCTCAAATTTAGTAAAAATTCATGAAGAATTTCACTGAGTCCAATGATTTATCACATACAGATAACACTATGTTAGAAATTCCACATTTATTTAACGAAATCAAATATATATACTAGTGAATGCAGTGATAAGTACCATGTAACAATGTCAATTATTTAGGCCGGCCTTGTTCTTAAACTCGGAAAAAAAAATACTTGTAGTTATTGTGACTGATTTATACCTGAATTTTTGCGGCTTCTGAGGGCAAAATTGGAGCTTGCGTTGATCCTCGGGATAAACTGTAAGAAAGAGTCTATCATTGTAAACATCTTCCATAACCGAGTACATTAGTTTTTCCTCTAAAGGAAGTGCAAAAAACTGCCTTGAAACGTCAATCAACTCGTCCAGAAATAAACTTGTCATCCCATGGTTTATAACCTATTCATTAACAAAAACCGCCAACAATTAACATAAACATACAACATTCATAGAGAATATACGCAATATTTAAATCACTAGCTACACGGGAATTGAATAAAATTCCCTAAAAAAAAAAAAAAACCTGGAAACAACCCCAATTTTTGAAAGCAGAATGAAGCTTTGAAAGTTCATCTTGATGAGCAGATGAAGAACCAGTGGAAATAAGATCGAAATCGATCAACAAAGTTTCTTCCCATAGATTGGTAGAGGCATCAATGGCTGGAGAAATTACATCATTTTTAATCATGTATTTTTGTGGGATTTCCTCCCCTTTCTTTCCTATTTCCTGCACTAACTTTGATATTACATCGTCTTTTTTTGATTCATCCATTACACCTTCAACTTTCACTCTAACTAAATGTTTTATTTGTTATCTGTATTTATCAGCAACAAAACTCGGACATGTAGCTTGCACAGATCATGTACATAGGTAGGTATTGACTTTATATTAGCAATCATATACTACCTCGCTCCGTGTTTCTTAAATTCAAATGTTTTAATTATAGCACTATTCACACACTTATTAGATTACTCTCCAATTATTGCTTATTAATAATTAAAAATATTAAAATAATAATGGCTGAACTTGTGCACTTACCCCCTGAAAACGTTTCAATTAATAAAAAATATTTGCTACTCTAGTATTTATAAAATAAACATTAGTGCTTTGTCGTATTATCGTTTACTAATTAGTTATACCAAGTCTTTTTTTATGTAGCAATTAGTAAAGAAGATGATACAAATTAAAGAACGTATGTACTGATAATCAATGTGAAATATCATCATTAAAATACAAATAATCATTTGCACTTTGTCGTATTATCTCCTTTACTAATTAGCTGTACCATATATTTTTTTATATTGCAATTAGTAAATTAAGGAGATGGTACAAATTAAAGTACTAATAATGTGCAATATTAAATCATAAAAATGGGCATGTATACATTGAATAATGAATTAATGATAATAAACGAGTAATTATTTTCAAATTAAGGGGTGTAGTACAATTTTATTTCATTTTTTGGTGAAGATAATACAATTGTTATTCCTATTGATTACATTACTTCTACATGTAGGTAAGGACTAATCCATACACAAGTATATAATTAACTATAAGCAAACAACAATATTTTAGCTTGTTTGCATCAAATGAAGCAACAATGCTATATTTTAAACATATTGATAGCGATGTATTTTGAATATTCTCTTCTCATATAGTTTAAACAATGATATGGTTTTAACATGTCGATAGAGTACATATATATTAGGAATATCCTCATCAAAGGCTCCAGATACTATTATGTGTACGATGATTGATGCAATATAGTTGGTCTTAGAGATGCATATTAATTTTATGTTAAAGCCATATGTGTACATCACAGGCTCCAGATGTGTACATATATTTTTATTCATTTCATGTTAAAGCATGTTAAGATGGATATTCATTTTTATTCACTCTGTTTTATTATAATTTGCACACTTTGACATTCTGCGGTGTTCATATACTATATGATTGATGCATTATAGTCGTAGAGATGCATGGATGAGCAGGAAATAGCCTAATAGGCCACAGATTACTACGAAGGTCAAATCCATAAAAAGTCCCCTTATTAAATGGAACGATCTCTTAATGAACAGGACAAACATACGTTAGTGACACCGGTCTTACAACAATATAATAAAAATGGAGAAATCTATCAATTCTTAGTGCTAAATTTTGAGCGCATCAAGCACCCTTTTGCCCTGAGGATAGGTCTCAAAGAACAACTGTTTGTAAGTTTTCATGTTCACCTTCTTGTACATTTGTGGTTGATTACTACTAATCAATTCAGTAATTGGCCCAACTTCATTTTCGGGTTCTGGAGTACAGAATGCAGCCACTGAGAACCTTTCCCTTTCCGAGTTAGTCACCACCCTGTGAACTACACTCTTGAATATACCATTACTCATAACCTGCAATTAAAGTCCACAGATCATAAAACTCTAGCTTATTAAACATAATAAGAATAGGTGTAACGCGTGTTTTTTAGGATCTAACATACAAGATAATAGTGTAGATTGTTTGAGAGATAACCAGGCAATAACACAATAACAAATTCAGTAAGTTTTAGCTCATTCGAGTTGAGTCAATTACCTCTGCATAATCACCAAGATTAACAAATAAAGCACCAGGGATGACTGGAACCTTGAACCATTGATCGTCTTTCTGGATATGCAGGCCTTCCGGCACATCTTTGTCTGGTAGAAGTACTGTAATAGAGGATCTATCTGAATGTGGATGAACACCATAAACTTTATCAGGCCGCGAACAACGTGGATAGATTCCAAATCTTGTGTCTATAGATCCTTGTTCACCATGTTCTTTTAAGAAGATATCTTCCTTCAATCCTAGAGACCGCGCCATGGCTTTTAGAAACACTTCTAACATCTTTCTCAAACTCAAAGAGAACTCATGTAAAACTTCTCTGAGGTCACAATAATCTATCATATGTTAGTCTTCCATACATTTAATGAAATCAAATATACTAATGGTATATATATAGGCCTTGTTCTTATACTTTGGAGAAATTACAAGTTAATTTGCATATGAAAAAAGTACTTGAGAAAGTCAGCAAAGAAAAATCAGCTCTAATCTGAAAATATAAATCTTGATTAACAAACAATTACACGAATGATGAAGTCTAAAGAGCCTTAATGGTTGAATTACATGAACATGTACCTGAACTTACGCGGCTTCTGAGGCCAAACTTGGAGCCTGCGTTTTTCCTCTGGATAAACTGTAAGAAAGAGTCTATCATTCCAGTTCAGAGTTTGATCTCCAGAAATTACTGAAGCATTCCCATATCCATTAAAAAAATCTTCTGTTATTGAACATTTTAGCTTTTCCTCCAAAGGAAGAGCAAAAAATTGCCTAGAAACATCAAGCAACTCATCCAGAAATAAACTTGTCATCCCATGGTTTATAACCTGATTAACAACACAAACCACAAAAAAAAAAAAAAAAAAAAAAAAAAACATAACATAAAACACTAATCATGTTAAATTTATGATGCACGAAATGATCAGCCTGATATCTAGATTGAAATAAACTCAAAGTCTCAAACCCGCGAGCTGAGGGACATTAGAGTCCCTAGGGATCTATCAATAAGATGTTCAAAGCTAAGATTTGCATCATTATTAAGCTTATTAGAACACTAGATTTACTAAGTCCAAAGAACATAAAAAAGTCAAAGACTACAAAAAAGAAAGAACAACCTGAAAGCAACCCCAGTTCTTTAGAGCAGAATGAAGCTTGGCAAGTTCATTTTGAGTTGATGAAGAAACAGGGGAAAGTTGAGAGAAATCAATCAACAAAGTTTCCTCCCATAAATTAGAGGAAGCATCAATGGCTGGAGAAATAACATCATTTTTAATCATGTAACTTTCTGGGACTTCTTCCCCTTTCTGTGCAATTTCCTGCACTAACTTTGATGTTGCATCTTCACTTCTTGATTCAGCCATTACACCTTCAACTTTCACTTTAACAAATTCGGACTTGTACCATGTATGTACTTGCTTGCATTTATACAGATGATTACTCTATATATTTCCTTATATTTGTGTTTTTTAAGGATTTCATTTGTATGGAGAAAAACTTTGACCAATAATATCCATTGATATAGGAAATAATGAACTGACGTGAGATCTTGATAAATTTGTCTCAATTTCCATACCTACCACAAGGTAAACAAAAAAGTATGCATATTTATTTAGAAAATAAATTTAGTAGTCAACAATATAATCATAAAAATTATAAAGTGGATATTGTATAAATTTATAGAGTATTATTTAGCATTGGGCAACGTAAGAGCAAATATAAAAATGAACCTTAGCCTATCAAAGGTTGAAATTGGCTTTAAAGCAATTAACTTTTGCCTTAGGAATGTGCGACAGAAAGGCATAATAATGTGTTTAACCAATATTCTTAATATTTCCTTCCCTAATTTAGGGACATGATCCACTTGTTAAATGTAATCACTCTACATGTAGGGACCAATCCATGATCAATTTGTTTGCACCAAAGTGAACATTAATTATAAATAACAGTGATTTATATTCAACTACTACCTCCATTTTACATTATTTGCAACGATTGCAAATAATATGAAACAGAGATAGTATTTACATTCAAGTTCATCTCGTGGTATCATGATTTATCATTCAAGAACAATATATAATCGTTTAAAACCTTGTGAGATTATATTTCAATGTGGATTATATTTAAAAATAATAGTTAACTTTTAATAAATCCATAGCTAAAGATAGCAACAATTAAAGTTCCATTGACAAACAAAGAAGAAAAAAACACATATACTCGTATATTGCAAGTAAAACAGAGAAAATAGCTTTTTACTTTTCAGAGAATAAGTAGAAGTTCAAAATCTTGTAAAAGTAATTTATAATTTAAAATTACTAAATCTTACTCAGTTTTTTGGGTGGTATCTTACTAATTCAGTAATTCATACGAAGTAGTAAGTTAAATGTGTTAGATTTAGTATCGATTTATAATATGGAGACGATGGAGCAAAAAAAAAAAAAAAAGGAACCGTCATGTTTAGATGAGATGTACTGAAAATTTTGAATTACTATAAATTGCCAAGAATGCAAAACTATACAAGAATCACTTTTTGCCTTGCATTAATTCCATAAAAATCGGATGTCAAATAAATAGTGTTGTTGAATTCTATCAGGGTAGTAGGTGAATTCAGCATCCTAATACAATGTATGTAGATACATTTGAGTTAGAATGTGAATTGAATCCAAAAAAATTCCCTTAATAAAGGGATGTCAGTTGTTAGGATTTCACCGCTCATATGAATGATGCTCGACCTGTAAAGAATGACAAAAAAAATGATTTCTTGACTCCGACTAGATTTGTAATGGATTAAGCGAGCTTCTTTGCACGGCCATTGGAAGGCCCTGCAGCATCTTTTTTTGATCCAGGTTCCTCAGGTTTGCGGGCCCAGGCTGGAGCTCGATCTGGTTCATAACGATAATCATAGAAAAGTTCTTCCCCTGCATTTATTCGTTCCTTGGCAAATATGCCCACTCGATGGTCACCAGCTACCATAATAACCTGCCATGGTAACAAACCATAAATGATATTTTCCGGCAACTATGCCCATTTGATGATCAGTGAATACAAACAGCACCTGGAGGTCTATGCTATATAACCGTAAAATTCTGTTTTCATACGCAAAGACTTACCTTTGCATAGCAATTCGGATCAGGAGAGTGATTGGCAAATTTCAACTTGTCCCCTTTTCGATAAGCATCTAGAACAAACTGCACAATCAGAAGATACAACTGTTAATAAAGAGAGAACAAGCCACCAATAATAAGTCCTATCTAAAACTGCAAAATTAAAAATCCAATACTCAGACCTGGTCATTTAGATTGAAAAGAAATGAAGAGTTTTCACGGTCATATATCTTTCCACGTTTATCAGCTTCCCGGTGTGAGATTAATTCTCCAGTGTACTCTCCAAGGTATTCATGCTTTCCAACACCATTCTGAAAAAGGGGTAGAAACTAAGCCTTATGCAAGAAGCAGAAAAAATAAACATCAGTGTTGTGAATTTGAGAATTATCACCTTAAGAAATGCTCCCCAACCAGAAACATCAGACCTGCCAAGTAAAACCTGCACAACGAAAACGAAAAAAAAAAAAAAACCCCTTAGTGTCATATGATATCCTAGACATGAGATAATCACATGCTGCAGCCACAAACAGCATCATTAGTCTAGGCTTAAATTTGGGTATCGTTTTCTCAATTCAACATAAATGCATACATAATAGCCAATCAAACCTAATCACCTCTCTCCCTCTGGCAGGGTAGGACAATACTCTCCTTTCTATTCTTTGGTCAATTTAAAAGAGAAGAGGTGCAGTAATCTTCTCCAACCAAACCTAAAACCCAGTACTTGTATCAAATCAGCACACTTAGCTTGAGAATTAGGGGTTCAACACTTCCGGCATTCTCAGTCATTGCAAAAATAGAAACCCTAATCTACTATAAAGTATAAACCCAATATTGCAGCGAAAGACAACTTAAGTAACCTTTTGATAAATAAAACTCATAAGAAGCAGTGCATTACACAAATTAGAGAGAAGCAGATATCCTAGCAAAGAGCTGTAGGAAGGAAAGTGCCACTCGCGAACATTTAGAAATTAAGATGGTTCCTCCAACATACATTCTAATTTTGCTTTTGGATGGCTGTAATCCTAACGCTGATGTAATTAAAGTTTTGTTATCTAGCCTCTTTGCTACCATGTAACATACATACAACACTGGTTTACTACCATGTTTGTACGTAACAAGATAACTACTCAAATACTTAGATAGCAAAATTAGATCATACTCTTACACACCAATCTATTAAAAGTTTTAAAGTAACCCCCTAAGACAACTTTGTTCCATTCATACCAATATCCCCGATCCATTTTAGATGATCACATACCACAGCTATCTATTCATATAAATAAGAAATTTAAGCCATTCCTATACACCACAGCCAATTTAGATCAGAGTTCGGTTAAGCCCTCAAAATTTCAACTAGCATTTTTTGAAAAGGCCAGCTTTTAGCTAGGTCTTAATTTCCAAATACTACCTCCGTTTCACATTTTTTGCAACTTTGGATTCGACACGGACTCCTAGGCAAAAAAAATGAGAAATGGAGATTAACAAATGTTTGGGCATATGATTAAGAGGGAAATAGAAAGAAAGTGGATAATTATTTATTAACCGTATCACCACCAAGGGCACCAACATCCACCTGACAACCACTTGCACTGTCAACACCACCACTTGGCCAACACCCCTACCACCCGCCAAACTTCCATCACCACCACTGACCACCTTTTTCACAGTTCGGATCTCCCTGAAACCACCATAACCGCCCAAAACCTTGTCGTTGCTGCAAACACCCACCCTTTCCCCACCCACTAACCTTGCCGGAACCCTAACCCCAACCCTCAATCTCACTGGAAACCGGCCGGCCAACCCCCCTAAATAGCCGGCCGACCTCTACCATTGGGACCCTGAAATCACCCAGCCAGCACTCCCCGACCCCCAAAACCACCAACACAACCCATCTAACCCCAGCCCTCTCGCTTCCTCCGCCCAACATCCGACCTCATCTTCAACCTCAGAGATCCGATCAAACGACCCACCCAACGCCTGCGTGCGACGACGTCTATTTCGAGGTCACCTCGCTAGAGAACGCCTAATTCACGGAGGTTTAATTTCGGGCAAAACGACGACAGCCAAAACCACCCACCACCAGCCGCACCACCATCCCTTAACAAAAAAACCCACCATCCCAAACCTAGCTTCACTGCCCTTGTGATGTGGTTTGTCTTCGTGGGTAGATGGAGAGAGAGAGGAGCAGATCCAAAGAAGAAATCAGACCAGATTATAGGAGAGAAAAAAATTGGGGAATTGAAGATGAAGGTGAATGTTGGGGGTTTGATTTCTGGAAAAAGAATCTGGAAAGAATTTGATGAAGATCGATTAGAATCATTAGATGAATATTGGAGGAATGAACGAGATGAATTGATATGGTTGGTTGGGAGGATGATGAATTAACTTTGGTGGAAATAATTAGTGAAATTAAGTTAGATTAGTATTTTATTAAGTTTTGTTTTAAGTATCTAATTGAGTTTATGAAAAATTAAGTAAGGGTATTTTAGTAATTCTAGTTAAAAAAAATAAAAAAATAAAAAAAAAACCCTTAACTAAAAATGGAAAATTTTGGAAAGTTGCAAAAAACTGTGTAGCGGACGTGTTTGGTAAAAGTCGCAAAAAATGTAAAACGGAGGTAGTACATTTTCTGCTTAATTTATATTTTCAATTAATTTTACCTACTAGAACTCTAGCCTTTTACATTTAACAAAAAAAAAGGGAGGAAAATTTACCCGCTGTTGTTGCTTGAGCAATAACTTCATATTTCTACATCCATAATTGTCACCTCTTTGATTTGGGACACCGAGTGTACCATCACCGCAGCTGCAGATAAAGATTAAAAAGGTAACCATTTGTTAGCAATGAATCTAAAGTAACGTATCCAAGCACTGGTGCATGCTTTGCATCTAACTACCCAAATGTTAAAATTGAACATAATTATAATCAAAATACCATTTTCAGATCCCCTTCATTTGCTCAATGTCAAGTCAAAGTTATAAACTATTGTCCATTAACTTAATCAACTCATCATAACTATTTTAAATTTACTGCATAAGTAATGCCTTGAAACATGACTCTTCAATTATAATGTACCGACAGTATAACTTCAATATTAATATGGATACAATGGAATAACAAGTTATACGGGAGCATGTCATTAAAAAAATTACAAGCCTTTTTCATGACAATGCCACAAGCCACAGCAACTGATAAATACGTGGTATATATCATATTGCTCTTTACTAATTCTTGCATCTCATATACAGTTGGTACTTTTGAAAAATCTTAGACACTCTTAATCTGCTACAACTGCTCTACATCTACAGTATTCATTCATATGATAAAGTACAAACTGCCATAATAAAATACATGGGCTCACCTCACCCAACAATTACGACAGACATCTGGATCACACTCCCTATCTGCAGCAAAGCACGGACATTGACGGCTTCTGCATTGACTTTTAGCACAGTGACAGCCCCGGAATCTATTTTTGCAGTTCTTA